AGTTCCCTCATTGTTCTAACAACTTTACAGGGATTACAAGTTCTGGGGATAGCAGAGGAATTGTAACAATAGACTTGTATGATTGTAACAATTGTCTTTTACTTTTTAGCCCAGGCCTTGTAATCTAGAAGCTTTACAATGCCCTAGTCTCTTACACTTTAACTCAAGCTCTTGCAGTTTGGAATCAGCTTAGAATTTTTACCTTTACAATATAAATTATTTTTTACTCAAAAATATTGTTGTAAAGGCAAAATTTTAATGAATCAATTTCACTTCTGTAAGTGGAGAGCACAAAACAAGGAAGACATAATAAGAAAATGTAAGGAGGGCTGGGATTGTGGCTCAGCAGTAGAGCACTCACCTAGCATGGGCTGATGGGTTTGATCCTCAGCACCACATAAAAATAAAGGTGTTGTGTCCATCTACACCTAAAAAATAAATATATATATTTTTTTTAAAAAAAAGAAAATGTAAGGAGCTAAAATGTGACATGATGGAGTTAGTTTTTAAGGCAGATGAAAACTGATCAGTTTTCAAATCAAATTTGAAAGCTGATAAGCAGAAAATATACATGTAAGTGAAGCCACATTTAAAAATAGTTAGTGTAGATAGGTAAATCGGGTCTAAATCATGTCCAATAAAAAAATGGAAACCATATCAAAAATGGAGTCTTTAAAGAAAATGGAGTTCCATCTGCCCCCCCCAAAAACCAGAACAACATGTGGGGAATTGAAATGTTAATGTTCCCAACCCCCACCCCTTGTCCTACAGAACTGTAAATGAAATAGCTCCCAGCAAAACCAAGAGATGCTAATCAAACCACCCTAGGCCCTTCCTGCCCAGATCATTGGTCCACCTGTTTCCCACCTTTTGGCCTTCCCACCTGCATCCCCCATCACATGCAGGATACAGGGAAATAAAGGACAGGAATGTGGGAGGACAAAAGAATACCTTATACATAAAAGAGGGAAGACGCCCCTTTCCACCGATTCTGCCTTTTGAGTCCCCTTCTTCCTAGGGTGGGCAGGCGAAGTCTTTTCTGCTATCCTTTAATAAAGCCTTCCACTTTCCACTCTACACTTGCCTTCGTGTGCTTCTCTGGTGTTATACTTCAGCCTTTGAGGAAGCAAGGACTCATCAAGGTAAACAGCAGTAACATAAGAACATGAAAGTATTAGAAATGGGTGGGGAGATATAAAAATAAGGGAGTAAATTTTTACATTATCCATTGTAATGGTTAATTTGAATTGTCAACTTTATTAGATTAAGAGGCTTCTGGGTGTGTCAATGAAGGTGTGTCTAGAAATGATGGGCATGTGGGATAGTGAACTGGAGACCCTCCCTAAGCATGGGCAGCACTATCCAATAGGATTGTGGTGAAACAGAATAAAATTGGAAGAACAAAGAAGCAGCAGCAGATGCAAGCTTGATTTTTCTTGAACAGGTTCTTGATTACCTCTGTGATCACCTGAGGATATCAGACTCTCACCTCTTCACTCTCCCAAAGTGGATTCTGCCAGTGCTTCTCTAGGGAGTTTCCAGAAGCCTTCAGTCTCAGGCTAGAGTAGCACCATTGATCCCTCTTGGGATCCAGCCTGGTTGGAAAAGCCTGAGCTCACCAAGGGAAGTATGACTCCCATAAATAATACAAAAGCCCATTTCCAACCTCTGTCCTCACACTGATTTTTTTCTTAGGTTTTACCAGACATGAGCCCCTTATCCTCCCTACATTCATCTCCTTGATCCATGAGCAGGTAATGCAAGGAGGGTTTCCTCTTCATTCTTCTCTACAGAAGGCAAACATGCTCTTAACATGACTTGTAATCATAAAAGTCCAGGGTAAAGGTGGGCAATGTTTTTGTCAAAACTTCTGTGTTCTTTGAATAGTATTGCATGGGCTAGGGAGTTTGTGGTGTAGTGGAGAATGAAAAAGCTCTTCATCTCTAGGCTATCTTATCTGCACTTGAAGAAGCTATTTAAAGAAATCTTTCTTAAGTGTTCTCAGATTGACAGTGGCCAATACTATAGGAGAAGGGAGAAACCACTGAAGTATTGTGACAAGAGTCCTAAGGAAAGGAATGGAGGTCCACTCTGCACACAGAAGTGGTGTAAGGATAACCAAGATACTGTTTGTAGCCCATTTTGCTAAGTACAAAGGGCTGTCATAGCAATTGCTACAATATTGATACTTGTACTCATCTTTATTGTTGTTCTAACAATAAAACAACCACCTTCTTCCCAGAGTTATAAACCATGCTAAGGCAATAAAACTTGATTAGACCTAGGAATTGAATGTAGGTATACTGGTCACAGGCTCAGCACACTTTCCAGGCAAAATGTTAATGTGGGACAAGCCAATAAGAAAGCAAAGGACAGGAGTTCACAGCAGCTGCTTGTCAGCCCTGAAGATCACCTACAGATGCTTCCTGGACCCATCGATCTTGTCATACCTCTGCCATTACCCTCATTACCATTACCTTGTAATTCTCTCCTAAATTATCCTGCTACTTCATTTTCTAGAGTCTAAGTACCAGACTAAACTTCACGCTGTAGGATCCTAGGACTGGGATTGTGTCTGACCTTACACATCTACTTCATGGTTCACCATCTGGTTCTTCATGTCTGTCCCGTCCAGCAGGACACATCAACGTG